TGTTGTGATGCAGACACCAGCTGTGCGGCAGGAACCTGCTTTAAGTGTAAAAAAGAGTAATTTATTTCTGTGGAAACTAGATTCATTTCAGCGACATGCAGCGGTAGTGTTCCAGAACAACCCCACTCCATAAGACGTTGGTAGTTTCTGCAACTATTGGATACTATCCTCCACTGGTAAGTCAAGATGGTATATTGGCATCCGTCCAGCTTCTTCAACACAGTCAAAATGACAAATAATTAATTATCCTTAAAGAGTCGTCATCCGCACGTGATAACAAAGTGCAATTCATCAATCTCAGTTAAACCAGGCCTCTGCACGGAATAAGTTGTACGTTATGATTAAGAAGTTCACGTCAATAGGCTGGGGCATAAGATCCATTACTAGGGACTTCATGCACTATAATGATATCATTTTACGTATAACTTTATTGCTCCTAGTTTAACAGCTGCTTGATTGACCTTCAAATAGAAAAATAAGCAAGGAACTACCTCAGCTGATACATGTTCTGTGTCGGTACCCTATATCAGAAGCCAAAGAATTTATTGATTACTTGATTTTTCATGATGTTGACTGATCACTGCGATGCCACTGACGTTGAAACCACGACAGCGCTATTCCGTCACTGGCAGCAAATCCCCAATTACTGGTCAACCGTCCGTAGTGTCTTTCCTATGCTTTGCTACTTGTTTTTCAAGTCAGCCGTCAGGTCAATTACATAAATGTGGAAACACAGACAAAAAAGAGAAGGTCCAAACATTAGGCATCTGAACACTGCACTGATTAAACTTTGGGACTGCGCATCAATTTTTAAGCAGTGCTACTCTTACAGAAATCCTAAGTATACTCTGATTGGCGGTCACATGGTTCTTAGCAATTATCTTTTGACGCACCTCTTGAGGTTCAAGACATCTATCATAATATTAATCTGAATTGTCCTTTCTAAGGATAAGTCAAAATAAATTTTCGCTACTCTTCTGTTTCAGCTGAGTTACCCTAAGTGTTAATGTTCTACAAGAATGGCAACGTAGTATTTCTGAACGTTTGGCTGCGTTTTTAAGTTTAAGTTAATAGATGCCTTCAGATTTAATGACTGTATTGCATAACGTACAATTTAAATCAATCACATACCTTCAATCGGCGAAAAACAGTCATCTTCTGCGTTCAGGCATACTGTAGGCACACTGACCATGTTCACCTTGTGGTAAATGGCCGCCGCTCGATAGTAATCGTTGGCTGTTTTGAAACCGCTCAGCGGAGCTGTCACGAGTTCGTCGAACTCACGAATGAGTGACGCCTTCAACGCGGCATCAACATCCACCATGGACTGCAGAATTTCCTTATTCCTGAATGCATACTCGACAAAGAGAAGTGCAGTAAATATGCTGCCGAGGTTAAACCTTACTGTTGGACAATGTGACACAGATTCTTCGTTAAGCGGCGATTGAAGATGAATCGATATGCATACTGTTCCAGGCTTTTCGATGACGCCACCGGATCCCACGGCGTACTGATGATCATAGCCGCCTTCAGGCCAGTTCTTTCTGCATCGTTTCTTGACAGGTAGTTAAATAACAATCCCCTGGTAAAACGAAACCGTCATAATGTGATGATTGGTTAAAAGTCAACGACGTACCCGCCTACAGAAATTCCTACCGCCATGCACTGACAACGTGGCCACTTCTTTTTTATGTACCACACGACGGCCTGAATATCATCGGTGTCGCAAGCGCAGTAAATTTTGGGCGTCTGAAAGCGTGTTAATAAGAAACGCCAAGCGAAAGCAAAACTAGTTTAAAACTTGTGGCCTGGCTGCTCGATGGGAAGTACTAATCACAGATTTAACAGCAGGAGACTTAGATTTGCATCACATAACCGAAGACTTAGATTTATATCAAAGTTAATATTGATTTTTTTACTGTATTGCTTACCGTATGCATCCTTTTAATTCGTTAATTTAAAGTATATTTTGCTTAAATTAAACTTAATAAATGACTCTTAAACTAATTGCACACGGACTAAACCGAACACAGCTGATCTTAGACCGTGCATGAGAAAGTGAAAATTGAGTAAGTTTCTGGAGCTGAATCGTGAAAAGTTTCATAAATTCAGTAATAGAAAGTCACAAATCTACAGTATTCACCATCTTCATTCTCAACCGTATTTAAAAGGACATCGAATCAATCACATATCAGAAATAAGAATATTATCGTAATGAGGTTTCTGTCATCGACCATGTATATGTGATCCAGCAGCTAAGGGAGGAGTGCAACGAATGTCAAGTGACACTTTACTCTGCTGTCATCGACTGCAAGAAGGCGTTCGTTCTGGTATAATTGACGGTTGTGCTAAACGCCCTGTTAAAATATGGCATATGCCCCGTCTACGTCAGCCTGATCGAGGAATTGGGCAGTGGTTACGCGACTGACATGTGTAAATGTGTTCATCAAACAATGCATCACCAGTGTATCGTCTATCGAGGGATGCGACAAGAGCATGCCATCTGACCAACGCTCTTTGCCGCGGCCATGAACTCATTTTCAGCCGGCTAACTGCAGCAAGGGCATCAATATTGATGGAAGGAAGCTAACGACAAAACACGATTGAGGTCCAGCAAAAAATGCACCATTGCAAGAAACGTTTCTGGCGATTGACCTCCCCAAGACGAAATGGATGCGAAACGACTGCTGCCTTGAGGACTCTCTATACGGAATGGCGAAGATCTAAAAAGAAATCACGAGTTGCGAATGCCTCGTCGTTGACAACAGTGACTCGCATGGAACAGTCATTTGGATTAATAAACGGGCTGATATAGAAAGGAGAGCAACATGCCAAAGGCAGCATCATGCCAGCCGATGTACGACAGTCGGTTCTGATTCCACCTGTGCAACATCAGAAGTTTACTAAAGCCTTTTCTATTTCAGCTCGTAGGTGCAGAATTTCAAGGAGGGGGTCACTAATGCAGTACCACAGTGATATATCTTTCCGTAACGTGCTGCCAGTTATTTGGCAGAAAGTTATCAATATAAAGATGGTATCAGATTTCACTCCCAAACCGTGCCATTGTGGCACTGTCCAACAGCGGCTCCTCTGTGATTCATCGCTGTCTGCGAGCCATTGGCAAGTTGGCACGTGTTCCAAGCATGCATATTCCTACAGTAATGGCAGACAACCGACGGTCCGGTTTTTACAATTGGCTCCCGATCATGGCGTAAACGACTTTTCGCAACTTCTGAAGGCAGTTCCAGGTCATCGTTCTGCTAATGGTGGAATGGCTTCAAGATGAACGAAGACCTATCATGTTCCGTGATAACCGCACCTGGTTCGGGCATTAATGAACCCGGAATGCTTCAAGGCTGACTTAGCAGAAAGTCTACGTTTATAGGCAGCATTTTCTTGCACACATGTTCAGTATCGTAATGAGTAGCCGCTGAAAAATATCATCACTAATCATGATATGAGTAGAATGACTGATTGATTTACTTAGGACTCGTTTACAGATCATATTCCAAAATCGCCATGCCATGAAAATGAACTTACCAGCTGGTAAGAGTCCGCATTTGCATTTGCTGGATAAAATTATCGACAGGTTAAAGACACCCTAAGTGAAACCTGAATGCCAGTTACTGTCATTTCTGATTCCAAAAGTTCATTCCAATTTGGTGTCAACAGACAAGAATGAACATTTTCAAAGTCACAGTATCTGCAGGAAGTCACTCAACTGATTTTACTGATATGATATCGGTTTTGACAATGCCGACATCATCGATCTACAAAGTCAACATTGATCAGAGGTAGGAAAATACAGATGTACTAAGTACAATCAAGCGTATACTATGCTATGATATTATACAATCGTATTTAATCAGTCGTTGGCTAAGACCTTGATGATGATGGAAATGCTGGTAAACGCTCCGGTCAGAATTAAAAGAACATTGGAATTGCGGTTTTGTAAGGGTCATTTGATCCAGGTTAAGGAGAAATCACAACTTAAAATTCTGATGGAAGGAGTATGACACATGAAAGAGAGATTAATATTTTTGGAATGCAGTAATTCTGTCAACTAAATAGAACCATTATTGATCTACAACAAATTGCAGGATGGAAAAAAGTTTTAAAAAAATTTATCTTAAAAATGATTTTCGATTTTAAATGGTAAAAAACACTAAACGTGGCGATTGTAGCAAGTATAACCTCATGCCACCTATATTTTGACACGTACACGGTGTAGTTAGACGTAGAAGACGAAGCAAGGCATAGAACAGAGTAAACACAAAATATTTACGTAGAAGCTCAATCTTTAGCAAATGAAGAGATCGAAATAATAAGGTATGAATCAAATAAAGAGATAACGTGCAATAGGCAAATTCTGGGCAAGCTAGAGTTAAAATATTTGGAACCATTATTATAATTGTAGAATTGATGTACGGAATAGATGTTGGCTAGCACCGAGAAAGAACGGAAAAAAGGAAAGTTCATTGCAGTTGATGTCGGAACTTCAAACACTAACGCAATAAGCACCACCTCCAATACTCTTTTTTATGGAGGTTATGCTCGGCATTGAATTCGGTTTCTGTGCCACCAGACAAGAGTATATTATTTCAAAGGCAAGGACTACAGTGTGGCAAATACAGCATATCACCGCCAGTTCCTTTTCCCACAGTGGGATGTTCGTTGAACAGCGTTGGAAAGCTGATGCATGATTTGCTTACTGTACGTCCCATGCTCTATCAACTAAATAATCCCCGTCTACGGTCGAGCAGTGACTTGATTTTTCGAAAAAGAAAATCATCGAAATGAGGTTGAAATGGCGTGGCAACAGCAGAGTTTTCGCACGACAAGACTTCATGAGGGGCACCGACAAAAAAGTCGACTGAATATCTATTTGATGGTTTGACACTGTATGAAAACATGAAGTCGTGCTGGACATGCAGTTCAAGAAATGATTGGAAGAGAAAGACTTAAGTTAGAGAAAGAAAAGAAATCCCAAATGAGGAAAATGTTGACCTGACTTTCTCATGAGTGAAATGAAACGTTGCAACATGACTAAGTCGGTCGAACTGAAATGTTGATCTTCCTTCACTTTCATGACTAATCCATTTTGACGCCCTTCTTTTCACGAAGTTGATCGTGCAATGCTGATCTCCGTTTCTATGCCATCAACCACGAGTGCCTTCTTATTGAGGCAGAGCCTGTAGCCATATGGCTAGCGTTGCGTGTAGCCTTCTTTTCCTTGCCACAGAGTGATACTCGTTTATCAACCTCAGAGGAAAGAAGGACAAATGACCCCGGCCCGGTCTTGAACTCAAAATCTATCGGTTTTCAGTTGGACGCTCTACAGACTGAACGACCTTGAGCTGAAGCAATGTGTTGCAATTTCCTTGCTTAATGGAATTCGTGAAACAGACAAAGATTGTTCTCAAGCGGAATCGATTCTGGCACCTCCGGAGTTCGAAGCAGACCTCTTCAAAATTGTGCCAACACGCCACTCCGCTAGAGGGGAAATTCGTTTAATATTTTGCAGCTATGAAGATATGAGGAATCTGATCCTGCTAACGACGAGGGAGAAGCTGCGACATAAACACACTCAATAAAAGCCTGATGGCAGTTCTAGAAAGTATTTATCACAATTCAGCAAACGAACAGTTCTTAAATTAATGATTCAATTTTCGAGCTATATTATCCATAGTGCATTGCTTCTGCCTGGTCTAAAGAATCGCTATCGTCGGTTCATGGAATCCTGAAGAATAAGGAAAATTTTAAAACTTATTCGTTCTCATACCTACGCCATGAAGGTAAATCGCCTACCCACGTTTGAATCATGTTTGGCAGGAGTTGATTGAAAGTACGTATGAACAATAATGGTTTTATCGACGTTCAAATGTACGCGCCGTATGAAACTTTCCTCGATTGGTTATTGAGGTAGAGCCTGAATTCAAGGAGCATCTCTGCAGTTAGTATGCTAAGTGTAGAACAGACATTAGATGTGAGTTACTTATGATATTATCTGAACATTTAAATAAACGTTCACAGGAAATGTGACACAGCGTTGGTGGTTTTGGTTCTTTGTCATGTGAGGTTAACAAAGTTCGAAAAGCAAAGCAGCAGTGATTTATGAAGTCTGACCATTAAAGTAGATTTAAATTAATACATGGTGTATTGATTGAGCGAAAGTCAATTCCTCCTAAAGATAGATCTCTCTCAATTACATGCCTCCTAGTTATGAGATCAAGTGGCTGCTCCCGTAAAAGGAAACTTTGGAACATATTTCCATTCTCTCTTTTGGACGGTTTATTTAAAGAAAGAGTGAATGGTTAAGCGGTTCAGCTACTCGAAAGGTGGTTTCTAGAATACGGGAAATTTCTCGACGACAACCTTGTTATACAGCGAGTGCGTACTGCCATTAAATAAGCATGCTGGAACCCCAAGAAACTTGACCAACTCATCATTTCAATTATTTACACCCTTGCCGCTGCTGCTTCATCGAGTCTGAGTGGAGAGTGTCAATCCTCTCGAAGTCTCAGTTACGGCTATACAAGACTAGTGCAATCAATCTAACGATCGCCCTCGTCATACAAAGGAAGAATTGCTGAAGGAAATAATTTAGACGATGAATACTTGACTGTCAGTTCAGCCTCAGTTTGAGGCTTTCATTCTACGATACTTCCAATTTAATATGTGAATACACGGATATCTTGCATAACGATCATTCATGGGATAGGCTGGAACTTGGACAAATGGTATAGCTAGTCGATATGTCTATTTTACACATATAAAAATCAGCAGCATGACATTGCGCTAATCATATCTGGTCAATATACGTGGTCTTGACACCCTGTTGACTTGCATTTACTACTGTTTGTATTGCAGAGACGAAGCGACCATAGGTTTATTACTACCGTTTAAATATTTCTTGGACTCTCTAACTCGTTTCTGTAACCTAATAGAAATTTTGACAGTCTTTGTCCACAGATTCGGTTCATGACGATGTGTGTAGTTGGCTCAGTTTAGACCCTTTAAGTAGATGTTGCTTACCGTCTTTATGGGATAATGGATGCTGGTACCCGTAGTGGTACACGAGGACTGATTCCTATGGAAATTTTATTCAATTATCTAAATGTTTCTTGGCTGTGATGGCTCATCTACAGGGTCATGCCTGTTCAGTAATTATGAGAAGTATTTTTTGCTATGTCTTAGCAACGTACTGTAAAGTAAGGCGAAAGAGTCGCTTGGTGCACCACATCTGTTGCATCTTAATGGAGAATCAGGTCTTTCCTCATCTGTTGCATATTAATGGAAAATCAGGTCTTTCTCAGAGGTTATTAATGATTTTAGCTTCCTTTCCGACCTGAAGGCAATTTTGACGTGGTCAACGAATTCATGGTCAGTCTTATAGGTTTGAGTAACTCGGGAATTAGAAGCAAGCATACAGTAAATAAGTGTTCATATTTTCGACGAGCTGTTTGTTCAGTTTTATTCCATACTGATTTTCTGATGATGGTCTGAGTTATCCATTTCGCTTTGGTACATCACACATGTTCTGTGCTTCTTCACGAACGATTGTGATGGAACTCGGGTTGCAGCCTTGGTCAGTCAGGAATTTCATGTCACTCATAGCTTCAAATTTTTTTTGCATTGTTTCTCATTAGTTGCATGCTACGTGGATGTCACTTAACCGCCTTGATCATCTTTGTCAATTTCATTGGCTGATGTGACGCCACAGTTATTTACTTTTCATTTAATTATTGGTTCCCTTTCTTTTATTTATTCTCAAGGAAAGATTCTTCGGTCATTCCTTACGGGAGATAGCTCTCAACTCTTTTGCAAATCACATGCTTTATGCGGAAGACATATATTAAATGATGACCAGCCAAAATGAAATACTTTGACCGTTCAAATGAAAGATAGCATTGTATTCTTAATCAAACAACGCTGATAAACCTGTAAGCTTTTATGTGGAGAAACTGACTGAATTTGTTCCATTTTGTAGCGGAACAACCTATGAAGTATTACAAATTAGATAATAGTTAAGGCAATATTCAACTCGAACATCTCTCTGTTTGGCTCTGGTTTGGTTGTGTGATATCATCATGGTCATCAGTCTCTCTTGATGCACTGCTTGATACAGGCTTCCCCATAACTTAGCCATGATCACGTGTTTTCTGCAATACTAATCTACATTGATCAAATGAACTTATTAAATTCATTTTTACATAGGTTTACTAGAGGTTTTACTACGGGCGGTTTACTTTCTTTAAGAATCAAATTTCATGCCTCTTTGGACCAGCGACAGTCGGTTCTTCTTACAACATGTTCTGACGTTATCACATTTTTTTTACTCATGCAATTGCATTCCAACTCCTGTTTTTGTTGTCACCCATTTATTCATCTTTCCATCCTTTCTTGTCATTCCCAACAGACAACACTTCATGCTGCGTTGTTTGTTTGCAGTTTAGGAATGGCTTTTAGACTTATGGTTCACGTTTCGCATTCACGCGTTTCGTACAGGGAGCACACACTGTTATAAAACCTCCCATTCTGAGGGTAACAGCGTGTTCTAAAGCATCTTGAGGATGACAGGATATTTTAAATAGTAGATCTTAAGGATAACAGGAATAAGAGGAGGTTTTAGAACTTTCCAATCTGAGGATTTCTGAAACAATTTCACGGATAAGAATATGTTTAATCTGCCGTAAGAGCTGTATTCCTTTGCTCTTCTGATAATTTTAGATGATCAGTTCTCTGTTGCAAAAGTGAGCTGCTGCAGATAGACGTAGTTTGCACTTTCTTGAGCGTAAATCCATTGGTTTAGCAAGTCGGGTGCTGCGTATTTCGTACTTGCCAAACCTGGCCTTAGTCTTCTAAAAATTCATGTTCCGTCCTGCTTCGATGCCGGTGTCATTTTACTCTTATGTTCTTCGTAAGAAATCTTCTGGTGACCTGATATGGTAGGCAATCTACAGTTGGATTAAGTAATGCGAATGTACGTTCAGCCGCTGATTCTCAACGCACTGCTTTGCCTCTAAGATCTAACGGGTCTAGGTGCCAGGTTTTACGCTTTGCGTGTTTCAAGGCACTCGAAACTCAAAACAGCTGAACTCTTGCATCGGTAATTGTGCTCTATAAACAAAGCACCGAGACAGACTTTAGCTGATCAGTTTTTGGCCAATCGTATTCAGGCCCATTGTAAATTTACCAAAGGACAGAAATCTAGAACACCTGGACCCTGCACAGCCAGAAGAGCAAACAGACTTCAAAGGTGAATTTAGTTCGCTATGGCATTTATAGGTGATAGATGTGATTATTTCTATTTATTTTAGAGCTTTTGTATCTTGCAACTTTTCTTATGAATAAACCGCTAAATTAGATAATTTAATTATTATTCCTTGGCTTATTAAAATAGCTACCATTATCGGTCATATTCTCTAAATTCGAAACTGAATTGTGGTTAGTTTGCTTATTTTCACATAATCAGTTTAATTCGCGTGGCAATTCTGCGGATTGCTTAAGGATTTATCGGTCTGTTTACCTTAATAATGAGCGTTTCATAGTATGAATCGGTTATTCACGTTTACTTCATCGCAACGAATCACGTTTTGCGTTCGCCAACCATATTATATGTCGAAAGTCCTTTCGTAGGTCGAGATTTGGCCTCCACCTTAAAGAAGGTAGTCGTAGGCGTTGAAGAGTAGGTGAGGTTGAGTTGTTGAAATGGAAATGATCAAATGTGAGACTGAGTCTGAGTAACTCCGGTATGTCTACAACCCTGTAGCGCGAACTTCCATAATACGGAGGTATCAATTTGCTCAGTATGCGTCTTGACCAGAACTATGTGACATAGGGAATTCCTTTGCCAGTTCATTGCCATTTTCAACAGACAGTTG